ATATAACCTAGGATAGTTCCCTAGGTTTCATTAGTAACATGCAGTAATCTTTACCTAATAATTATCATAATCCTCATGAAATAAGTATAAACCCCATATCAAATGATAGAAAACCAACATATTTATGAGAAAAAAATAAGAAAGGAATGATAACATACAGAACATAAGGGCTGAGCCCTTGTTTTGGTCCTAGGAAGAAGAAGTACTATTGATTGTTCTTGTGTGTCAATTGGATAAAATCTTCAAGCTATTTTTTACTTATTAATTCAGGTTTTAAAGTCTTTAAGTGTTTAATTGATTGATCTGTGTATCAATTGAACCCAAACAAATAAGAAAATAATAAAAAGAAACTAGTATAAGAATAATAATACTAACACTATAAACCCATAATATGAATAATTTAGTCTAATAATATCTATTGTACTACTATTAATAACATAAAAATAAAAATATAAAAATATTATACGGTGTCTTGCATATAAATATGTAGGCATTTGGGCGAGGCAACTCCAAGAATGCCTTATCGCCTAGGTGTTGCCTTGACAACTATGGTATCCACTGATGATATGATAAGGGGCTGGCAAACAATAGCAGAGTTTCAGTTGAGATCTCCCACTAGGCAGGTGGAATGGGAGGTTACTGGAGAAGGGAAATTAAAACTAAACTTTGATGGCTGTAGTCTTGGGAATCCGGGTGCAGCAGGCATTGGTGGATTAGTTAGAGACCATCTTGGCAATATATTGCTCAGATATTCAGGGCCAATCGGATTCAACAACTCCTTGAACACCGAGATGATTGCAAAGTCATACTAAGCTGGACTAGAGGTGAGGAAACTCCTTGGAGATATAGATCTATGATCAGACAAGTACAGAAAAACCATCTGAATAGCTCATTCAGATGGATTCCAATATCTACAAATGCACAGGCAGATGCATTAGCCAAGTCAAGGGAAGGGAAAGCTTAGCATGGGGATCAGAACACATGGGTCTCTAAGTTGAATGCAAAATGGCAGGACAGGATTTGTATACCAACCCTAAATAGTTTGAATTAAGGCTAAGTTGAGTTGATATTAAACTAATATAAATAACTAATAATGAAGAATCAAAGCAATGGCTTTCTTCAAGTTACTAGCATCTAATTCTAATGTAGAGAAGAATGCAATTTCTCTTTTATTTCTTATGTTGGCAAATACCTGCCACCAGAATACTAAACAGAGTATGAGTTTGAATGGTTAAGTGGCACTTACTTGAAGAGTGTTTAATCTAACACATAGTTTAGGTATTGTCAACTCATTCAACTTTTCCAGTACTTCCTCTTCCACAAATTTACTCTGGATCAACTTTTTCTTGATTATGGGTACCATAGTCTCCTTATAACGTGTCAAAGCAGGAACAGCAGGAAACAAGTGGTTCTTGTCAACTGCAGTTTAAGACAACATAATCATTATTTCAGACTACAAGATGAATGAAACAGGAAAACACAGATTCTTATAAGTTGGTAAAGAACATTTTTCCATAAACTTTTCTTTCTTTTGCATAACAATCAAAGATTAAATCAGTGCAGAAACAGATGTAAGAAACAATTCAAAACACAAAGATCAACTACAAGTATGTGAGGAGGAAATCTGTGACTGTTCTGATTAAAAAACAAAAGGAACGTTTTCCCCTTCAATCACACCACTAAGCATGCAACAATGTTACTGAAATAATATCATGTTGTCATGTCTGTCTATATAAAATGTAATTTACTAATCCTATTCAATCCATTCTTTCTGCTTAAACTTGTTTGTGCTAAAAAAAAATCTAACTCAGCTGGAAGAAACCCAATATCAGCAGTCATATCTTCAAGGTTGATGATGATTTCAAAGGTAATCCAAAGTGGGGAATATATTGCTTGATATCAGAAGAATGGCTTCAAGGTGTATTTCTAATTTCTAAGCCCCTGGAAAAAATGGACATTAATTTCTGCCATTCATGATTGTCTAAACCTTAGAAGAGTTAAGGCATATCTCCTCTGCTATTATTAGAAGTGACTTGAGAAGTATAGTAGGTGTCCTTGATCAACTTTCTATGTGCATGATATAGAGATGTTTCATAATCTCACTATTGTCATAAGGCAAACTTTAGTTGATAGTCAGGTACATGTCACAAGCTTTGGAATATTTAGCTCATAATGTCAAAGCACCATTTTTATTAGAAGGTTTTAGTCTTTCACAATATCTTGTTTGGCAAACTTTAGTTGATAGTCTTTCACATCTCCAGTTCACAGACGACACTATCCTTTTCCTAGAGGCTGATGAAGAAATTGTTTCAAATCTGAAAAGGGTCATCACCTACTTTGAATGGATTTCTAGACTGCAAGTCAACTTCTCTAAGAGCAGTATCGTTGGCCTAAATCTAGTTGGCACACATTCCTTGAATACTTTCACAGATCTTGGGATGCAAAGCGGAGAATCTCCCGTTCTCCTATCTAGGGATGCCACTTGGAGGGAATCCGAGAAATCAAAGTTTTTGGGAACCAATACTAGAAAAATGTGAGAAGAAGCTAGCCTCATGGAAAAGGAACTACCTGTCCAAAGGGGGGAGACTCACTCTCATTAGAACCTCTCTGGCAAACCTACCAACCTACTACCTTTCTATTTTCTGCTTGCCAAACAAGATAGCTATTCAGTTAGAAAAGCTTCAGAGAAATTTCATTTGGGAAGGTGGGGAAAGGGGCTCTCACCTTGTGAAGTGGTCTTAGGTTAGCAAACCAAAGGAGGGAGGTGGGTTGGGAATAGGCCACTTGAAAGAAAGAAACACAGCTCTTCTCAGTAAAAGGTTGTGGCGATTCCCCTTAGAACCAAGTGTGCTATGGACTGCCGTAATCACTAGCAAATACGGGAAACACACCAACAGTTGGGATAGCAAGCTTCACTTGAATCGAGTATAAGCTTCACTTGGAAAGGTATAACCTCAACTTACACTTTTTTCATCTCTTTTATCAGATATAAGGTGGGCAAGGGTGATAGAATTAAGTTCTGGACTGATCTTTGGTGGGGTAACTCAACCTTGGCCAACTCCTTCCCTCGCCTTTTCAGCCTTACCTCAAACCAAGAAGCTT